AGTTTCCACAACAAACCCATAATCATCGCACGCTTCTCTCTCTCTCTCTCTCTCGCTCTCAGGTCTCAGCCCACACCATACCGTATTACCCTTCTTTCCTTCTCTACAGTCCTCTCTGTTTTTCTCTATCTTTCTGCGAAATGTTCATAAACCACTTGGGGTAGCAATTACAACGACAGCAACATCTCCAAGAACAAAAAAACGACACAACCCATCATGGAACCGACACAGAACGCCCATTCCCATATACCGCAAATCCCAAATGAAACCTCTGCCGCCGAGTGGGCTTCTCATTTCCACCACCAACACTCTTGGCAGCAGTTCTATCCTCCCTCCGTGGTTCTCTCCCAGCACAATCCGTCTCTCGGCTTCAATCTCAACCAGGAGAATGATGAAGAAGTCGACAACCAACCTGCCGCCACAGACAACTCAGGAAACGCTAACCAAGACGTGGAGAAAGAACCTATGTTCGAGAAACCCTTGACCCCCAGTGACGTTGGCAAGCTCAACCGTCTGGTCATCCCCAAACAGTACGCCGAGAAGTACTTTCCCCTCGGCGGTGACTCAGGGGACAAAGGGTTGCTTCTGAGTTTTGAAGACGAATCAGGGAAGTGCTGGCGGTTCCGATACTCATATTGGAACAGTAGTCAGAGTTACGTCTTGACGAAAGGGTGGAGCAGGTACGTCAAGGAGAAGCAGCTTGACGCTGGTGACGTTATCTTATTCGAGAGGCATCGTACGGACGGCGACAGGTTGTTTATAGGATGGCGGCGGAGGGGCAGTGCAGCAGCCAACCAAGATGGTGGCGCTGCCGTGAGCGGTGGTGGAAATGACGGGTGGAGTAGGGGATTGTATCAAGGGCATCCTTATCTTGAGCACATACAGGGAAAGGGGACTAATGTGCCATACCAACCGGACTGTTCCCATGCAGGTATATTTTGTCATATTATCCAATAACTCTTATCCATTCATCCTTTTACTCCTCAATGTTTCCTGGGTATATGATGAAATTTCAACCTTTGGTTTTTCCGGATGGAAATGCGTGGGATGCACGCGTTTGCCTTATTTGTATTCTCAATTCTTTTGTATTCAGCTATCTTTTTCAGTGCTAGACACCCAATTTCGCTTTTATGATTTGAGAATACCTCTTTTGCATTTTAGTTTGAACATAATATTTCACCTAATCTTCGCTTCTGCCTCTCTAAATTCTTCCAAAGTTGAATCCATATAATTCACATTGTCTGGTCTTGGTTGCAGAAGCGGCCGTACAGAGCCAGACAACGACAGGGAGCTCAAAGCGGCGGTTGCGGCTGTTTGGGGTGAACATGGAGTGCGAGCTTGATGAGTCCGAGCCCTCCACACCAGATGGCTCGTCTATGTCGAGCCAGGGCCCAGCCTACCAACAGTTCTACTCTCATTCTCATCCCTATTCGGTACGCCATCTAGCATCTTAAATTCCAGTCTCCTTCATATAAATAATGAGGTTAATTAAAACTCAAATGTAAATCATTACGTATAAGATAATTAAGGAAGCAAGTTGCAACCGAGCACACAGGTTTTTACCCATTGATCTTTGCTGTCTCTTCCAAAGAGACAGTCAGATTATAAGATAAGTTCAGGGAAATTGACAAACGGCACATGGTAGTGTCAATTAGCGTTCATTAGTGTGTCAGTGTCTACATACTGCTTTTAAACGTAATTTTCTTTATTTTTTGATAAAGATTTTAACCGTACTTGCTGATTAATTAAAACATGCTGCCCAGCTGACAAATTACGTTGTCATCGCAAAGGTTATGATTATATTTAAAAATAATAATTGATAACAATAATTAATTGATAAATAATAAAATGATTAATTTATTATTTAGTTAAGTAAAATAAATGTATAAATTAATGTTTTTAAATGCTATAATATAGCTATTTATTTATGAAAAAAGAATCACAGTATAACTGTATCCCGTTGTTACTTGCAGTGGATTCGAAAATTTATAATCTGACAATAGAAAGTCATTGAACTGCTATGGGATTGTGTAAATTAGTACATATTAGTTATTTAATATCACATTTTATGGTACAAAAACATGATGGAAAAAACAATTGTAGAGCAAAAATATAGTAGCACATTATATTGTGCAAAAATCACTGTAGTTAAATAGTAAACGGTTTTATAAGCACAGATGAGGACTAACTAGAAATGATTAAAGGAGTGGATGGTCAAAATGGACGGTAGAGTTAGGCAGGCAGAGATTATGGACAATAGTGCTGATTAAAGTGTGTTGTGTGATTGAAACAGGATATCACTTTCTCTCAGGACATGAACCAGATGAGAAATCGTCGAGGATAAGATACGGGGGGATGTGACGTTGTGGATTTGACTTAAACCAAAACCCCAACTAAAAAAAAAATAAAAATATTATATGTTATGACTTATGACTTATGAATTATGATGATTATCATAGAAGGAAAACGAAGTACGGATTGCTTTTTTAGTAATAGAGAAGAAAAGGTTAGGCCACATTCCAGGGGTGGAAATGGAGTAAGAGGTCCGTGCAAGGGGGTGACGTGAGGAAGTGCAAAATGGGGTTCGTTTGGGGAATCTATTTGGGCACTGTTGAGATTCTGCCTGAAGATTTTTCGTGAAGACTCATAAACTAAGAAATAATGGAGGAAAGTATGGTGGACATGGTGGTGTCTGTGGGTGGTGGGTGGGTTGGTGGGTGTGTGTATGGCTGTTGCTTCAATGGATGGATGACAGCCCACTCTCTTTTTCAATACCGACATCCATCGGTTCATGTAACATAAAGCTGTTTTCTAATGCTCTATTGTAAAATAAAAAAGAAGAGAAAAGAGTAGAAATAGAGAGCATTTTGACATACCTTTCCTTCCTAAGCAAGCAACGGCTACATTATTTACATTTCTCACATGGTTATTGCATTTATGAAGCACATGATGATGGTAATCTTTCAAGTCTTGAAGGATTCGACAGCTGATCTGTAACAAAAGAAAAGGGTTTCAATAGTGGGCCAATAAAATAGTCACCATAATGCAATTTGCAAGAGAAAGTCAAATGGGTTTAGACCTTTCGTAAAGTGACAAATATTAAAATATGAGATATAAAGCAATAAAGTTTGAAATGGTAGATGGAATGGAATGGCAGTCATTACTGATCTTATCCCACTGGCCACTCCTTCTACTGGACTTCTAGAGACCACAGAAGTTCACTACTCAATTCTGAAATATTTAGATTAGGAAATCATTTCTGCCCTACTATGATTCCATGAATCAGTCAAAAGTTTGCACTGAATAAAGCTCCAACCTAGAAATCTATTTATTCAGTTATGGAGATTAACTGTCCTTTTTGGTACTGCCATTACAAGTCCAAAACACCATCTAACACCAACCAAAAAAAGTATGGCTTTATGGCTTCTGATATAATGGAGACGTGTACCCAAAAAGTCACTAAAAAATATCCTTTGTGCTCTAGAAGGTTTGGCATAGTAGCTATAGGCTCTTCTCAAACCAATGTGAAATACTCTTACCAAGACACCCGTTATGGGTGCCTTTGTATCCCTCTTCCAAAAACCCCCAAACATTTACCTCTTTGATGCTCAGGACTGAGGAGCTGTACAAGCTCACAGCCAAAAATGTTTGGTCCCCTGAAGCCTCAGCACCATTCACCATTTCACAGAGCTAAATGCAAGATGCCCACATCAAGACACCTTTTTTTCTGTCCTTTTTCTTTACATTTTGGGGCTATGATGGCAGCCTATTCTAAATGTGTTTCTTTTTTCCTTTCTTTAATTTCCTTTTGTTCTTTAAGGTTGCCATCCGCTTTCCAGTTTCCACTCCCAACTTTCCCTACAAGTCTACTGCCACTAAAAAAATCATTAATGTTACAAAGGGGAAAATATCTTGTTCAATTTAAGCCTAACGATTAATAATAGCCCAACTGAGCGCAATATCTCAGAGACTTGGACCTTAAGCCTAGCTCTGAAATCAGCCTCACGCCAGCTAAGTACATTATCTCCACAAAACTATCCCCCTATCACGTTGCTTAATCTACTCGGTTGACTAGAAAAGGACTTTGTGCACAGTCGTCCCGTCAAAATAGGAAACATGAGCATCAAAAAGCGAAGAAAAATGCTGGAATCATTATCATTTGAACAAAATGGAAACAAAATCCTGTTCGCAATGTCTTGTAATACTGGTTCAAAGGAAGCAAGAACGCATGAAAACCGCATACGTGTATGATGAAAGTAAGGATATATTCCAAATCCAGAAGGAATATTATTTCCAGAATTTCCACATTAGCCAATTGAGAGTCATTTAACCGTGCAAGCAATCAAGCATGGCTGATGCCACAAGACAGGGATCAGAGCCATAAATTTCCGCATTTCATCATATCATATGGATTCATTTTCATTTGTCTTATGTTGTGGCTTTTATCAGAAACTATGGCAAAGCCCAATACTGCTAACACTATCTCTGTTTCATTTAAAGATTCCTGTGCCTGGGTTCTTGGATGAATCAACCTAGTAAAAGGTTAAGGGATTTCCCCATCGCAACATCACTTAAGCCAAAAACCTCAAAGCGCCAAATACTAGAATTTAGGACAACTCACTGTGCAATTCTATTTACCCATGAAATCAAAAGCCTTTGATTATTGTTCTTCTTAATGATGTCTGCCGCTTACAAGTCAAATCCAACTACAATATATCTACAGTTTAAGACATGCTTATCAACCATTAAGCCAAAAAATGTCAGCTTTTAAATCGCTACTTGTCATTCAAGATTAACATAGTGCCCTTCTAAATGACAAAAACCAAAGACTGAAGCTTTGACAACTTATTTTGAACAAGTTTCAGGTCCAATAGTTATAAAAAGCCTCATTAGCAGAGTAAAATTAACTATGACCTCACATCCTGCTGCAGTCCGTTTAGAATAATAAATAACAGGTACAAAGATTCAGCTTCTTTGCACATGTCAATAGACCCTCTAAGTAAACCAAGACAAACACATACGGACAGATAAACAATGTGAGAAAATACACAGTTATCTACACATTGCTCACACAAATAATCAGATTTAAGTGTCGAGAGATATCAGGGCCCAAAAGGATTTAGACAAGAGAGTTACCTATAGACCTCCACTGGAAATGGCCTGCAATTGTTTTAGTGGCACTGCAAGTGGGAGAGTCACCAGATATTGTCATCATTGGCCTTTGGATAGTGGCCAATCAAAAGATTGAAGGGACTCCCTCCCGTTTAATGGGTTTGATCTGCAAGAATAATTCAATCATGCATATCCAAGTACAGTACAAATGTATTAATAATATGTGAATATTACTTCTTGCCACTTAGCTTTTCCTCTTATCAGCACTTTTTAGGAGCTAGGTCAACCTTGCCTTAACTGCCAGCAAATCTGCCACAGAAAAACAACTCTTCTGTTACTCGAAGACCTTGAGCAATAAAACAAATTACTTTTGATGTCAGAATTGACAGTAAGATAGCAAGAGAACACTAAACTTTTAAGGTTAAATCTTCAATTTGGTCCCTAAACTATTGTAAACATCCCTAATTTGGTTTCTAAACTAAAAAAATCCTTAGTTTGGTCCATAAACTATTGTACGGACCCCAATTTGATCTTTACTGTTTACCAATTTACTCCGAGTTGATCATTCTGTACAAAAACCAACTAACGTGTCTTATTATTAACACGACATGTGACCGTTAAATTAATATTTTTCGTCATTAAGTTACTTATTTTCATTGTTAAATAATGAACACATCAACTGTTTTTTATACGAAATGACCAACTTGAGTCAAATTGGTAAACAATATGGACCAAATTGGGGATCCGTACAATAGTTTAGGGACTAAACTAAAAATTTTTTTAGTTCATGGACCAAAATAGGGTCCGTACGATAACTCAAGGACTAAATTAGGCGTTTAACCAACTTTTAAAAATAATAAGCTAGGGAAGACCAAAAAATAAAATGTAAATCTCAATGGAAGCAAGCAAGTTAAATTAGAGGTCTGTATATATCTGATTTACAATATAGGTATATCATGCACAAAATATATATATATATATATATATTTATATATATGAAATTAACCTGGAAACCTTGTGCTAACGATCAAACCTGAGAATCTGAGATTGCAGAACAAACCGATAACTGAGCCTCATAGACAAATCTCATAATACAATCTTCCAAGTTCCACTAGGCTTAAAACAAATCACTGTGTTTGAAAGGACTCAGAGCAAGGCAGACCTGGAATGTGGAAATCCCATCAGCGACAACACATGGCATGGCATATGGTCCCCAACGTCTTATTGGTGCTGCTCACAGTAATTTTGCTTTCCAATCATCACCATTCATAAGATTTCAACCATGCACCAATTCTGACTTTGGGGCCTCCAGCAGCATTCAGCTATCCAGATTGTGGAAGTCATTTTCAATATCTATTTGACATGCTGAGCAATGTAATTTAAGTATTTGCTGTTGCATATCTATCACACAGAACTAAGCACATGGTTTTGAAGAAGCTAGGAGTTAAATCCTGCACTATCTGTTTAAATCTTAGAAAGACTGTTCCTTTAAGATTACAATCCAGCAGTTTCCGAGACATGATCCGCTTGAGAGAAGCAGAGATCAAAACGTCTATCAATTAAGGAATCAATCCAACAAAAGAAATAGTATATTGCTGTCATACACCAAAGGGAAACAGACAGACAAGCCAACAATACAATCGTACAAGTTATTTTCCAGTTGCTCACAATAGCACATCATTGTGAATAACCATACATTGAGACTCACAGCTGTTCAAATCCTAGAGAGGAATATCTCCCCACCATTCCATCAAAAGATACAGACAGAGAAGCCCACAGTACAAAACCATAACTTATTTCTGAGGGTGCATAATCACACAGCACAAGTTCTTGGATGACAGAACTTACCACTTTCTCTTTCAATATCAATATTAAAATCAAGCTTTCCTCAAAGGAATAAAAAAATCACATCAAGCTCCTTTGGTCCATAACTCTCTCATGCTTCTTTATCTAATAATCAACGGAGAAAGCACGAGAGAGAGAGAGAGAGAGAAGTAAAAACCAGTTTCAGAAGTAAGCCTTACATAGTTTGTCCTTTGAGAGAAGCAATGAAATTTGCAGCTGCCATTTGGGTCCTCAATAGAGAAACCAGAATCATGTTATGCGTACAAACTGCTACCATTAATGAGCTGGCGCCATTTACGTGGAAAATCTTTGGTAGCAGATCATAAAGAGATAGAGCATCAATATTTCCATAATAAGCGTAGTGCACTTTGGACATCCATTACATTTCCAGAAGCAAAGGAATGCAAATGTTTATTCAAATATAAGAAAAGGTAAACGCATAAAGCATAAAGCATCAAGCAATTCTAGATCCTGATGCATTTCAAAGCCTAAGTAATGAGGAAAATCTTCATCAACAGGAATGGAAAATTAATCCAAAGATATTTCATTAAATATACAATAGATAATCCCATTCTATTCATTCCTTTCACCTTTTACTGTTTCACATTTTGCTTCCAGTACAATGAAAGTCCCAAAAGGAATAGATCATGCTTAACTTGAGATCTCATGCCAACCCAGCTCTACCAAAGCTCTTTTACTTCAAAGAACCATACATACGCAAAGAAATACTCACATAAATTGACTAGTATGAGCTCCTAAGTCCTAAGTCAGGGCGAGGGTGACTTTTTCTGGGTATCACCTTCTTGTTGAGCCTTGGAGTCTTCCTTCTTCTCCATGACTTGCTGGATACCTTCTTGATATCCTTCTATAAAACTCTTGAGAGCATCTCTATATGCAGAAGCTCTTGTCATGTACACCCGCTGTAAAGCAGGCCTTAATGTCTCCATGCCTCCCCTAGCAGCAACCGCTATCATTTTGTTTCCATAAATAACATCAAGTCAAACAATAAAATTAACACAATCAATTGCTAATTATAGAGAAAGTGAAAAAAGCAAGGGAATAAATATGAAAGGAGGAGAGCAGAGAAGTTCAATTCAGACATTTTATCAAGCTGAGCAGGACAAGCTGTAACAAACATGATAACGAGAGAAAAAATCCATTTCCTAGAATCGACATATAAAAGTAGCTTGAAATTTTTCCAGAATTATAAACCAATCAGATGTTTCATTGCCAATCATTTTTAACTTTGAAATGAACTATTATTCACAAAAATAAATATCTAAGCAACAGATAAAAGATTTTATATGTGATTCAAAAATCAAAATGCAGGAGATTATCCCTTTAGGAACTAAATTGACTGACAAGCTTGCTAGCATGCAGGGCTTAAACTAACATGGCACAGGAAGGAAATGGTAATGAATTTCTAGCTGCATCTGGGTAGGTTTTGCTAGGAATAGTCTCCTACAATCAACCAATGGGCAATCAAGAGGATATTGCATGGAAAAGGTATCAAATTATGTCTTGACAACAGGGATTAAAAATTTAGGCAGCTAGTTGTATGGCAATGAATGGTTTATACAAAATAGATAAATATGGTTCAACCTCAAAGAAGACCTAAAGCAACATTCATAGAAACTTTCTCAACATAGTTGCAACTTAGCCCAACTTTTAGTGCTTGTTAACCTCGTGGCATTATATTAGCTCAACAGTGAAAAAACACAAACTAAAAGGTTCAGAAGTTGATCTACCATCTGAAAGCTCAAGCATCTTCAGAGAACATTTCCTTAATGGCCATAAGATGTCACAAGCTCAAGTATAAAGGCACATTGACATATGCAAGCAATAACTACTCTTATATATAAGTTTCTGTCAATAAATTATGACACTAATGTGCACCCATGAGATATAGTTTCTTACCAAGATCTTCTAATGTTGAAGGTTCTTTCTCTTTAGGCGTACTCTTAGCTTCATTTGATTTATCTTCACTTGTTTCATCCTTCTTATAATCATTTGGTCGAAGATCAGGACCAATATCCCGTACCCAGCTTGCAACATATAGTCTAGAAGCCTTCTTCAATACCTAAAAGAACCAGAACAGCACTAAGCACTTAACAAGCATAAATACACCAATGTAATCAGAACAGATTCACGAACATAATTCAGCATTCAGATTCATAGACCAATCTAAGATCCATACCTAAACAAAGTTTAAGAAAGTATAAAAATGAATTCACAAAATCTCCAAGAACCAATCTATCCCTTATTCCTATCTACAGATACATGTTGAAACCCCGCAAAATCAAAGAAACACGATGAAGAACAATTAATCACTAAATAATCCAGACCTGAAATGCGCTGCTTGCAATGAAAGCGAAGGAAATAGGAGAGCAGTGAAACGGAAAATACTTACTAAAATCCACTCCTGCCAAGTCAATTTCCGCTGCTTTTTGACACGATGAGGAGGATCCGGCAAGGACGACGGAAACGCGATTTCTTTGAGATCGTAGCGAATGTAATCGTACAGTTTCCTACAGACCACCTTCAGCTTCATTCTCGAGCTCCCAAAGCTATTACCATATGAATTACGGGAATAAGAACGTAAGCAAAAGAATTAGTAATCGGAAAGGGAGGAAGAATACCTGAGTTTTTCTGATGAAATCGCGGCGGTGCAGAGGAAAGGGCGAACTGCGCCGAGAGCTACCGTGCGAGGTGGAGGCGGGTTTTGGCGAGGTTTGATGATGAGAGTATTACAGTGTCTCGGCGGAACATGAAGGTGGTTTACAGAGGAAAGAGAGTAACCGTCTGATCATTCATGGATACTAAGGTTAAACTAAAAGCTCAAATTGCACTTACCCCCTTGTGGTTTGGGTTTAGTGCACTTAACCCTTCAAATACGAAAATGTGCATTTCAACTGCATGTGGTTTAGTACCACACTTAAAAAAAAAAAAGGATTTTTTTAACCTCTGTCCTAAATAAAGCATTAGTTAAGAGTTTAAAAAAAATAAAATAAAATATTTAATTTATCAACTATTTAATAAGTTGATTCACGTGACATTGACTTTAAAATTAATATTTATTTTTATATTTTCTTACACAAACTTATTACAAAAATGTACTCTTAGTATGTGCCCTTAATATGCAAATTAGAAAAATCCAAAAAAATAAAATAAAATAATCCATATGATTTGAAAATGTGCATTGAAATCATAAAAATTTGCTATTGACTCCCTTAAAAATTTGTACTTAAACTCTTAAGTGTTTTTGAAATTTTACCTTCAATATTAATAAAACTTGGGGTTAAATGCATATTTTGCAAACTAAAAGTGGATTATGAGCAAATTTCATAATTTAAAGAGTTAAGGGCACATTGTCAAATCACATGGGTATTATGTGCACTATTTTATAATTTCGGGTATTAAGTGCACTTATCCAAATTACATGGGGGGTCAGTGCCATTTCTCCAAAAAAAATTGTGGGACAAGGACATACTTTAAGGCGCAGTTCCCCCGTTGATTCAGAATTTCCAGTGTTGATTAGTGTTATGAATTTATGATCATCATCATCCGATAGGTTCCAATTTCAAGACCAATTGAAATTTTTTTTTTTATTTACAGCAGGGTGTTGTTGGCTTTTTTTTTTTTCTTTCTTTTTTTTTTAAATATTTCAAAATTATTTTTTTACGTAATTTTAAAGTACATCTCTATTAGTCTAATACATTTAAAAAATTAATTATTTTAAATAATACTTCAAAATTTGAATCATAAATCAAACTTACAAAATTTCAATACAAATTGATTCTAGTATATGATTGCATACTCATCGTTTGGATCTTTCATAGATGTGGATATTAGGCCTATAATCGAGGATATTCGTAAAACTCATAAAGAAAAAATGGAAGTTAGACAAAAAAATAATAATAATAATAATAACTTGAATAAAATTATAAAAATAAATGTAAGACAAATCTTTTTTATCTGTAACTTTAATATGTAGATTTGGCCATTTAACCACAAAAAAATTTGTAAAAAAAGGTCACATGTAAGAGTTGACATCTTAAGATTGTAAAGCTCCAACCTCTAAATTTTTAATCAACTAACTTGAAGTTTTAATAATTAAAATAAAAAATACCAAAGAATATGAAAAATTGTGTATGTATTTTCATGTTCTACAAAAAGTTGATATTGGGAAACTTAAAAAAAAAGAAGAAGAAGTTATTAAATGAATCTTACAATAAAAAAAGAGTTTCTCTAATTATTTGTGCTTTCAAGGTGTAATTAATACATTATTTTATCATTAATTAATATTAAAAATGATAAAAATTAATATTAATTTTATCAATAATGTTATGTGAATTATTTTAATTAATTAATTAATTAAATAAATACCAACTTTTAATTTTTATTAATAATTATATTAAAATGATGCTCTTAAAAACACACATTAAAAAAACTCAAAAAAATTAGTGAAAAATTTTTCCTTTCAACTTAATACAGAAGGCAAAACCTTCCCCAACCAAACGAATGCTAAGACAAAACTCTTGAAAGTAGAAATCATTGATAATTATTAACGGAATACCCAATTCATTGGATGGATGGATTTCAATTTTCAATATCTCATTAACTATATCCATTGGACAACACAAAGTTGCCGGGCGCTTGTTCTGGACCTGTGTAATGGAGTAACATTGAATTCTCCTCAATCGATCATAAAAAATTTCACTATATTTAGCACCGATATACTAAATCCTTTAAACTAACCTTTGTTTCTTCTCCTTCCCTCGTTCCTCCTTTTATGGATCAACTTGTCTCTTTCCCCATCATAATCAAGAAACAACTCTGCTACACCCTCACCGTTCTCATTATCTCCTCATCTGTACTACTTCTCAATCTCGGGGACCCTTTTGGGCCCCTTTCCCTTTTCCGTTTTGGTTTCTTGTCGTCGGAAAAAACTTGTGATTATTCTTATGGCAAATGGGTTCCGGACGAAAGCTCGTTCTTTCAGATGTACGGCGAAAACTGCCCGTTTCTTGATCCTGGGTTCCGGTGTCGTCAAAATGGAAGAAAAGACGTAAAGTATCTCAAATGGCGGTGGCAGCCTCATGGATGTGATCTTCCCAGGTACGTGCCATTTATCATGTTACTCGCTTTTTCTTTCATGTTAAACAGAAGTGTGTTGTTTAATAGGAAATGCATGGAGCCGCACAACGTAAACTTATTTAGGAGCAATCTTCTCAACCAATAATTTGGGCTAAATCGCGAACTCTTTTCTAAATGTGTTGTTGGGTTG